TTAAAAAGAAAGCTACTCCTGAAACTTCAACACATCTCAGACACACTTGGACACACCCAGTGACAAGTCCTAACAGACTGCCGCCAGCATCATGTCTTCACACACAGAGACAAGTCGAATTGATATGACAATAATTATTAATATGGCAAAAAGACCGATCAATTTAAAAAGCAAAAGGAAACACAGCTAAATCTCACCTGCAGAGTCGACCACAACGAGGACGACAAACAGCAAAGTCGAGCAGAGCGATGCAGTTACAGCAGACATTTCTGATGTCTTTCAATAACATAACCCAAGTTCAAAGAAACCTGACAGCATTAGACTCTTCAGTGACTGAAATCCAACCATCCAAAGGAGTCATGTCACAACTGTGTAACGTTAATAACAGTTAATAACAGAGCACACTTGATCACACCTGAGTTTTTAACGGTTTCAGTTCCTGAATAATTTTCACATGTGACTTATCTCCATGTTTAACTGCAGCCTCCAAAGAACAAGCTGTGTTGGAGCCACAGAGAGCAAATCTTTTGTTTGTTATGGAGCACCAGGGAGGAGTCTCTGTGTACATCTGATTACAGGGAAAGAATGAACCAGTGGAAACGCCCGCATAAACGCGTACAGACAAGCTACATACCACAGCAGTGAGGGTGCGAATGCAAAGGACTGAGATGTTTTTTTTTATATTGCATTTGATGAAGCCTGACAGCTTCCTCATATGAATTCATTTATCATGATGTGCTTCACAGAGTCGCTGTTACATGTCGCTTGTTGTAGTTCATCTCAAGTTGCATTTACCTCATTTTTTGACTTGCTGAGGCATGATGACTTTTGGTTTTTTTGGCATGTAAAACATGGGAATTAAAACAGGCTGTGGTTTCTTTTGCTTGTGCCTGCATAATGTGGTAAAACATTCACATCTACAAATAAAACCCTTTCCACTAGGACAAAAGATGGCAGTAGGTGAGTCTGATCTGATAACACCTTTGACTTTTCACCTTATTGTGAAGGAGGGGTTTGTGAGCTCGGAAGAAGCTGGGAGTATGTGAACTGGGGGGCAGCCAACTTTGATAAAGGGCATTTGGCTGAAATTGTTCTGTTATTATGTAAAAAACAAATGTTGGAATAAAAAAAAGAAAAACAGAAAGAGAAAGAGAGAGTTTTCAGCTAAACCACAACTGTAAACTGATATTATAATTGTTTCCTGAGCCAAAAGTGGAGCAATGAAGTCAACTCAACATGAGTGCAGAATATCTTCAGTTCATGCTTTGAAACTGCATTATATGAAGAAACACACTGGGCCAGCTTCTCTTTACACCTACAGCAGCTGCTCAGAAACCCAACCTTGTTTTTTTTCAACCGATTTTTGGAATATCAACAAATTAAATCCATAGTAAAAAAGAAAATTAATCCCAGTGAAGCTGAATTACAAACACCACCAAGTGTGGTACAATTTATTTATTCTAAAACCCCCCAAATTATTGTCTAAAATATACAGAACACTTTCTAACATAGATGAGTCAATATCCCTTCCTATTGCAAAATGGGAACCAGATTTATCGATCAGCTTACACCCAAACCTTTGGTCTCAGATATGCTTAAAAACCTTTCAATGGATCAGAAATCCCAGTTTGCAATTAATACAATACAAAATATTACACAGAGTGCACTATACTGGTCATAGGATGT